TTCCTGCTTTTAATATAAGGATGCCTTCCTAGAGCTCTAGGCTGCTCAGTCTCCTGGGCACTGGGGAAGGAGGGTGTATAAGGGTGTGAAGGATCCGAGTCCCCTCCCCTGCCCTCTCTGCGGTCCCCTGTAAGCTCTGAGGCCTGATGGGCCCTGGGCCCCTGTCTCTGCATGTCCCCACTTTCTCTTCAGTCCCCTGTGGTCTGTGAGGTCAGATGGGAGCCCATGCCCCCCACATTCTCTTCAGTCCCCTGTGGGATATGAGGCCAGATGGGGGTCTCTGCTCTGTGTGTCCCCCACCCTCTTGTCAGTCTCTCTTGAGATGGAAGACTGGATAGGGTCGTGCCTTCCACCTTCTCTGTAGTCTTTGTGGGCTGTGAGGCTGGATGAGGGCTGTGCTGGCCTGTCTCACCCTCTTGTCACAAGCGTCTGGCCCTCTTTTAGAAACTGCTTATGGATCTGCTCTTCAAACTGCTGGTCCAAAAGGGGGGAGAAGCACACTGATGTGTTATTTCCAAGCTGGATCCTGTCTAAGGGCTGGATATAGCACAGATACTTCCCAGCCACTGTGACCCTGTGACCCTGCAGCTGCCCAGCACCTGCACTCAGAATGATCCCCAGATGCCTGGATGTTCTGCAATCATTTGAACATTTTTATTTAGGGCTGTGAGGCGTGGTGCTAGGGCATTTGCCCGGGAAGGGTGAAGCTGTATGTTTGATCCCCAGTATTAAAAAACATTTTTCTTTTGTTTTCTTTCATTTTTATTAGGACTACCAATAAAGTAGCTGGTCCTGAGTGGGACATGGAGTAGAGGGAATCTCTCTTGTGGGCCCTCTGCAGCGCTCCCTGTGTGACCATAGACCCCAGGCCTAGAGTCCATGGGCCTGTGAGGCAGCTCTTTTTCCTGAGAAGTCCCCAGCATCCCTCAAGCCTGTCCCTAAGGCTCCGCCTCCTTTCTTGGAATTGCCTCAGCCTGTGCAGGGCCAGTGCTGTTTGCCCTGCTCCTTGTGTGGCCAGTTTTTTCTGGGCTCCCAGCCGGCTCCCAGAGTTCCCCAAGGCTTTCCCACTTCCATGGAACTGCAGGCATTCCTCAGGGTGAGCTGAGCACAGGGGTTTCTCTGCAAATGCACATGCACATGCTTCCCAACAGCTCCCCCAACAACAGCAACTCCTCCAACAACAGCTCCCCCAACAGCAGCTCCCCCCAACAGCAGCTCCCCCCAACAGCAGCTCCCCCAACAGCAGCTCCCCCAACAACAGCTCCCCCCAACAGCAGCTCCCCCTACAGCAGCTCCCCCAACAACAGCAACTCCTCCAACAACAGCTCCCCCAACAACAGCTCCCCCCAACAACAGCTCCCCCTACAGCAGCTCCCCCCAACAGCAGCTCCCCGCAACAGCAGCTCCCCCCAACAACAGCTCCCCCCAACAACAGCTCCCCCCAACAACAGCTCCCCCTACAGCAGCTCCCCCCAACAACAGCTCCCCCCAACAACAGCTCCCCCAACAGCAGCTCCCCCAACAACAGCTCCCCCAACAACAGCTCCCCCAACAACAGCTCCCCCCAACAGCAGCTCCCCGCAACAGCAGCTCCCCCAACAACAGCTCCTCCAACAGCAGCTCCCCCAACAACAGCTCCCCCCAACAACAGCTCCCCCCAACAACAGCTCCCCCTACAGCAGCTCCCCCCAACAACAGCTCCCCCCAACAACAGCTCCCCCAACAGCAGCTCCCCCAACAACAGCTCCCCCCAACAACAGCTCCCCCTACAGCAGCTCCCCCAACAACAGCTCCCCCAACAACAGCTTCCCCCCAACAGCAGCTCCCCCAACAACAGCTCCCCCCAACAACAGCTCCCCCCAACAGCAGCTCCCCCAACAGCAGCCCCCCCAACAACAGCTCCCCCAACAACAGCTCCCCCAACAACAGCTCCCCCAACAACAGCTCCCCCAACAACAGCTCCCCCCAACAGCAGCTCCCCCAACAGCAGCCCCCCCAACAACAGCTCCCCCAACAACAGCTCCCCCAACAACAGCTCCCCCCAACAGCAGCCCCCCCAACAACAGCTCCCCCAACAACAGCTTCCCCCAACAGCAGCTCCTCCAACAACAGCTCCCCCAACAACAGCTCCCCCCAACAGCAGCTGCCCCCCACAGCCCCCTACTTCCAACAGCAGCTGCCCCCCACAGCCCCCTACTTCCAACAGCTTCCCCACCAAACACTCAGCTCCCAACAGCTTCTATTCCCAGGCCTGCAGCTTTGCAGGGCAAAGCAGCCTTCTTGCTTGTGGGCTAGGTCAGCAGGATGTAAAGGAGCCCGACAGCAACCAGTGTGGGCTGCTGAATGAATAAGCTCTCCGAGCTAAAATGCTTCACAGCATGCTGCCTCTTACACCTTTGTTTTCTTTGTTGATTTGTAAGGATTTTATTTTTTTAATTATATATGGAGGGTAGTGTGTCCACATGAGTGCAGTGTCCTCAGAGGCCGGAAGAGGACATTGGTTCCCTTGGAGCTAGAGTTACAGGGGGTTGCGACCCACCCAGTGTAGTTGTTGGTAACAGAACTCTGGTCCTCTGGAAGAGCAGCACACACTCATAACCACGGAGCCGCCTCTCTAGCCCTATTCAATTACTTTTGATGGTATAGAGAATGCCAGGCAAGTGTACTGCCACTGAGCCAGATCCTACTACCATTCATTCATTCGTTCATTCATTCATTCATTCATTCATTCATTCATTCATCTCACATACAGTTATTTGTCTTTTTAGTTTCTGTTTCCGTGATACAAATACCCCAACAAAAGCAATTTAAGACAGAAAGGGTTTATTTTGGCTCAACAATTCTTGCTTTCAGCTTTTGGGGGCAGGGCGGGTGGGTCACAGCAGCAGGAGTTGGAAGCAGCTGAACACATTGTATCTACAGCCAAGAAGCCAAGAGCAATGAATGAATGTGTGTTCAGATAGCTTTCTGCATTCTACACAGCCCAGGGTCCCCTACCCAGGGAATGGGCTACCCTCTGTGGAGCTAGGCTTTCCTACATTCATTAATCTAAAGAAGATAATCCCTCACAGGCATGCTCAGAGGCCTGTGTTTCCAGAGGAGCAGTTCTCAACCTTCCTAATGCTGGGACCCTTTAATACAGTTACTCACGTTGTAGTGATCCCAACCATAAAGTTATTTTCATTGCTACTTTGTAACTGCAATTTTGCTACTGTTATGAATTGTAATGTAAATATCTGATATGCTGGATGTCTGATAGTCGGCCCCCAAAGGGGTTGCAACCCACAGGTCGAGAACCACTCTAGAGTCTGTCAGGTTGACAGTTGATACTACCATATTCATTTATTGGTTTGTGGGTTTGGTTTGGTTTGGTTTTTGCTAAGGATGGAGGTGAGGCTTCCCTGCATGCTAAGCAGCTTTTGTTCCTTTCTTTGCATAAAAGACATTCCACAAATATGAAGGAGGAAGGGGGATGGAGAACACAGCATGCATCAGCCGGGCATGGTACACCCTTTAATCTCAGCACTCAAGGGATAGAGGCAGAAGGGTCAGAAGTTCAAAGTCGTCTTCATCTACCTGGTGACTTGAGGCCAGCCTAGACTATTTAAGCCCCTTTTAAAAAATTGTATTGAACTGTATGTAGTAAGCAAATTAAAATTTATATTAATTTGCTTATTACAATTCATAAAGTAATAAGCACATTGACATTTTAAAGCCAGATATTGTAGTGGGTAGCCGTTCCAGCTTTGACCTAGAAATACCACCCCTTCTGAGGCTTCAGTAACTGTCACGCCTACAAGGTGGAGCCGAGAGAGGACCCCTGAAGACCCGAGATCCTGATGGGGGAGCTCTCTTGGTTCCTGGACCCTGAACACTGGAGGTAGACTGAGCAGAGTTCTCCAGAGAACACAGCCGGATCGCACTACACCTTTCCCAGACCCTGTAACCTATCCCTTCACTTGTAAGTTACCCCACAAAATAAACCTCCCTTTTAACTATGTGGAGTTGCCTTAATATTTTAACCAATAAGATATGGTGGCTCATACCTGCAGTTCAGCACTGGGGAGACAGAAGTAGGGGGATTCTGCAAGTTCAAGGCCAGCTTGATCTACACAGAGAGTTCCATACCATTCATGCCTATACCAAGATCTTGTCTCCAAAACACAGACAGACAAAAGTAAATAAATAGGTGAATAGATAGGTAAATAAACAAACATCTCGTTTGTGGTGCTGGGATGGAAGCCAAGGCCCTGATGGTGCTAGCCACACCTCTATCCCTGAACTATATCCGTAGTGCAAGGACCTTCCTTCTTGGGGCTAGGCTAGATTCAGCCCATGTCTCTGTACCTCTCCCATCCCCCAGGATCTCACCCAATCAGGGATGCTCATAGCTACAGGTCTGTTCTCCCTGGGTAGTCACCTAAGCAAAGAAAGAATTTAGCTGCTATACTTTAGTGTTCACCAAGATTCTGGGGTCACTTCAGCAGCTGAGTAACAACTGAACCCTAAATTGGAGCCTCTGAGGTTCTCTTAACATTTCCCTGAGCACCTCCAAACTACTGTCATTCTCGAAACACCCGTCCTCACTTCCTTCCAGGAAGAGAGCAGAGGGGAAAGCGTGGTTTTCATAGCTTGGCATCTGTCACAGAGAGAGAATGCTTTGTGAGCCCCACTCCCTCTTTCTGGCCACAGTTTTGTCTCAGGACCAGCAACCAGCAAAGAGGACATAGAAGACAAGACGAAGCTCAGGTCAATCAGGACGTGTTTGAAATAAGACTTGCACAAGGTACTGATTGCACAAGGAACTCTGGCAGGCAAACTCCACGAAAATCTCTGATATTCAGAATAATGCCAGGAATCAACAACTACTCACTGATGGAATGTGAGGACATAGAGTGAATACATGTGTCCTGAGGGCGGAGTGGGTATCCACTGCCCCCAGTATCTCCCAGCCTGATCTTAGGTGATCGCTGACTTTGATCTCATGTCTTTTCTCCTAGGGCGGAAGCCATCGTTAGAGGCTGCCCTTGCGCCAATGAGCCTTCCCAACATCTCCTCAGCCTTTGAAGACAAGATGTGTGAGGGGAACAGGACCGCCATGGCCAGCCCTCAGCTGCTGCCCCTGGTGGTGGTTCTAAGTAGCATCTCCCTGGTCACAGTAGGTCTCAACCTGCTGGTGCTGTATGCCGTACACAGTGAGCGTAAGCTGCACACCGTGGGCAACCTGTACATTGTCAGCCTGTCGGTAGCAGACCTGATCGTAGGTGCAGTTGTCATGCCCATGAACATCCTTTATCTCATCATGACCAAGTGGTCCCTGGGCCGCCCCCTCTGCCTCTTTTGGCTCTCTATGGACTATGTGGCCAGCACAGCATCCATCTTCAGTGTCTTCATCTTGTGCATTGATCGATACCGCTCTGTCCAGCAACCCCTCCGGTACCTGAGGTATCGAACCAAGACCCGGGCGTCGGCCACCATCCTGGGGGCCTGGTTTCTCTCCTTCTTGTGGGTTATACCCATTCTTGGCTGGCATCACTTCATGTCCCCGGCCTTAGAGCCTCGGGAAGACAAGTGTGAGACAGATTTCTACAATGTCACGTGGTTCAAGATCATGACCGCCATCATCAACTTTTACCTCCCCACTGTGCTCATGCTGTGGTTCTATGTGAAGATCTACAAGGCTGTGCGGCGACACTGTCAACACCGCCAGCTCACCAATGGCTCCCTCCCTTCCTTCTTAGAAATCAAGCTGAAGTCAGAGGATGTCAAGGAGAGTACCAAGAAACCTGGGAAAGAGTCACCCTGGGGGGTCCTGAAAAGGCCATCAAGAGACACTAGTGGAGGAATGGATCAGAAGTCAACCTCCGAAGACCCCAAGAAGATAAACTCACCCACTGTCTTCAGCCAGGGGGAGGATAGGGAAATAGTCACACACCACTGTTTCCATCTAGACACCATGCAGACACAGACCATGGCCGAGGAAGGTGGCAGAGGCTCAGAGGCCATTGGCCAGGCCCTGAGCCAGCCCAAAAGGGATGAGCAGAACCTGAATACTTGCCGGCGGATCAGTGAGACATCAGAGGACCAGACCTTGGTGGATCGACAGTCCTTCTCCCGGACCACAGACTCTGACACCAGCATAGAGCCAGGGCTGGGCAGAGACAAACTGAGAAGCGGGTCAAACAGTGGCCTCGATTACATCAAGATCACCTGGAAGAGGTTCCGCTCACATTCCAGACAGTATGTGTCTGGGCTGCACTTGAACCGAGAGCGGAAGGCGGCCAAACAGTTGGGTTTTATCATGGCGGCCTTCATCCTCTGCTGGATTCCCTATTTCATCTTCTTCATGGTCATTGCCTTCTGCAACAGCTGCTGCAGCGAACCCGTGCACATGTTCACCATCTGGCTGGGCTATATCAACTCCACGCTGAACCCCCTCATCTACCCCCTGTGCAATGAGAACTTCAAGAAGACATTCAAGAAAATTCTGCACATTCGCTCCTAAGGGCACAGCAAGAGGATGCCACATAGTGGGTGGACAGCGTCTGATGTCCAAGAGGGAACCAGAGGAAGAAAGCATGGGCGTCACTAGGGCCCTGGGCGTTGGGGAATAGAATCTAAGATCTTGGGCTGAGCAGTATGGAGGCATTCCCAGGGACCGTCAGAAGAAGAGCAGGTGGCGGTGGTTGGCAGGAAGATTGTACTTCGGGTAGAAAGCAGAATATTTGAAAGAAGCGACCTGGCAGAGTATGCCTGGCCCTCAGGAACTGTGGGTGTCTCAGGTGCTCATGGGAAGTCTGGCTCTGTGATGTGAGTGAGTTCCTTAGTAACCAAATCAGGGGAATGTGTGGCAGAGTTCTTCTAGAGGGTAAGCCTGAACTCGGAGAATTCCCAAGCAAGAGCTATGTGACTGCAGAGACATACACACAGATGCTGTCCCCTCCCAGGGGTCACCTGGAGAGGCATGGCAGCTATTCCACTGCATCCACCACTTCTCAGAACACAGCTCTTCTGAGCCTCTCCTACAGCTTTCTCCAGGGCTGTCTGGTCTGCCCCACCCTGGAACCTGCCTTACCTGTGTCTCAGAGTTGCTAGGAAATTAGGCAGCTTGCAAGTCCATCCTTCTCAACTCCTAATTCCTTCTGGCTCTTAAAATGGTAACAACAGCAGCAGCAGCAGCAGCAACAACAACAACACACAGTGACAAGAACTGACCTCAAAAATCAGGAGGAGGAAGTGGTTTTTGAACAGTTGCGTCTTAAAAGCAAAGCAAAATAAAGGCCAGAGGCTTGTTTCTCGGAAGCTCCACCAGGGGGCTCTCATGAGCAGGTCCGGTCTGTGCCGTGAGAAACTGAGAAGCCAGCAGGGAGATGAGCTTCCTGATGTCTCCTGACATTCCTGTGAGAAGCTGGGGATGAGAAAGTTGTGTGGTCCCAGCTCCTTGTCACCAGTTTTCTCCGAAAAGGAAAAAAAATAATAATAATGCATCCTGTCAAGTACTCATGGTATTCACCAAGAGAGGTGACAGTTTCTCAAGCAGCTGGCATGGAGCACATCTGTGTCCGTAGAGGGTGACCTTCGGAAGGGACAATGTGGTTTCTTTCTGTGAGACCGTGTGATTTCTAGTCACACATGCTAAGTGAATCCTTTTGAAGGCACAAGAGCATCCAGTTTTACTTACACCACAGTCTGGTTGTGATTTATATTTTAAAGTGTAATGTTAAGCCTCAATGCGTGTTGCAAGTAGGAACCCCTGTAAAAGCTGGTCTTTTGTGTCTGCGTTCCTGTGTGCATGCTCTGTCCAAATGAGATGCTTACCTTAAACAGGACATTTGGAAGGGTACTGTTCCATGACTGCTTTGTGCCTCCTTTTCTGAGTCTCACGGGGTGAGGGAACAGGTGGAAATGAAAGCCTGACAGAGGACTCCTGTCTGGTGTCTGCTCAAATTTACAAGTATCCTTTCAAATGACTTCTGTTTTCTAGAATGTTCCCCTCTCACTCTGCCTTGCATCCTGAGACACTCTCCATGCTCAGGCTCGGGGAATCTTGGGGACTTTACTGCTGGGTTTAGAGGCTGGCACTGGCCCATTTCTAGAATCTCAGAGAAGGCTGTGAGTGAACTCCTCCCCAAGGTGCCTCAGGATGGAAGGGTACTTAGAATTATGACTCCACAGTGGCTAAGTGCCATGCATGGGGTGAACAGTACAGACAGCAGGTGCAGAGAAAAGAGCTTTGACTTGGGGTCTGACAGGGACAAGATGGATCAATAAATAAAAGTTGTCACCTAAAGAACAAGGTGCCTGTGATGGTGCTCGGGTTTCCTGATGTTCCTACACAGGAAGCCTTCACTTAAAACTTAGAAACATGAAACATTGGTGCTGGAATGATGGTTCAATGGTTAAGAGCACTGGCTAATCATTCAGAAGACCCAGGTTCAGTTCCCACCTCCTACACAGTGACTCACGAGAATCTATAACTCTAGTTCCAGGGGATCTAATTGCTTCTAGTCTCCTCAGGCACAAAGCACACATGTGGTGTACATGAAGGCAAACACACGCACACACACACACACACACACACACATACACACACACACGCACACACATGCACACACACACATAAAATAAATCTAAAAGGTAAAGATAGGCCTGGACAGATAGCTCAGTAGTTAAGAACCTGACTGCTCTTGAAGAGGATCCAGATTTGGCTTCCAGCACCCACATGACAGCTCACACCAGTTCCTGGGGATCAGGTGCCCTTTTCTGGTATCCGTGGGCACCAGATGCACACAAAGTGCACATATAAATATGCAGTCAAAGCACTCATACACATATAAAAAGAAAAAGAATCTTTTTTTTAAAAAGACCAGATGTGGAAGCATGTATCTGTAATCCCAGTGCTGGGGAGACAGAGACTGAGGGTCCTTGGCATTCAGTAGCCGGCTCATTTAGCTGAATCAGCAAGGTTCAGCAAGTGATCCTGTCTCAAAAACCAAGGTTGGGACAGATAAAGGAAGACATCAACACACAACACACACACACACACACACACACACACACACACACACACACTCACACACACACCATCACCACCGCCACCACCGTCTCCGCTGCCGCCACAAGCATATGCCAACAGCCAGGCTTTGTGCCTTACCACCACTAACTAAGAGCATACTGGGCTCTCCCTGTTTCCATGACCAGGCAAGCAGAAGCACGGAGATGTTGAGAAACATGAGGTCCACTGTGCGGCTCTGGGATACACTTCCTCTCTGCTCTATCAGCTGCTTCTGCTCCTGTCTAGATTGTTGGATTCATCTTGGAAATACAAAAAGCCCTGGACTGTGGTGCAGAGATGACTCAGCCTCAGCCCATTTGGGAAGAATCGGGGGTAGGTGGCCTGCATAGTGTCCAGGGGAGACCAGGCTTTTGCATATATATATATATATATATATATATATATATATATATATATATATATATATATATATATATATATATATACTCTCTATGGAGAGGAGTCAGTTACTGATAAGAGCCTGCAGATAACAGCCCAGTGAGGATTCTCCCAATGTGCTGATTAACTTCAGGCAAGTTCTTTGGATGACCAACTTGCTAAACTTACCAGTTGACTAAACACTGACTTCTGCATAACAATATGTGCAAGGGTTATGAATTAGTTTGGGTTTGCTACTATGACAAAGTACATGAGGCAGGCTCCTTTTTAAAGAACAGAGGTTTATGTTGGCTTATAGTCTGGAAGTTCAGGATGAAACAGCATGGTGAAGGCTCTGTTGAGGACTCTCCTAGGCCACATTACATCGTGATGTGTGTCTGTCTGTCTGGTCTTTCCTTAGTTTTATATAAGGCTTCAGGCTTCAGCCACTAAGCCCCATCAGTGAACTTATATCCTACCTTAACCACTTCCCAAAGGCCGGCACCTCTAACCACCATGTGATTCATTTTTTTAAACCTCTTAATTCCTTTAACATAAAACTTTGGGCGTTAAACTCTTGCATGAGATCAAGGAAAGACCATATTTGAACCATAGCAATTTATAATAATTCATACAAGGTAAAGATTCCCTTTTCATGAGACTTTTTGTAGATCTGACTGGCCTGAAACACACAATGTAGTCCAGGTTGGACTAAAACACACAGATCCACCTGCCTCTACCTCTCCAGGGCTGGTATTATAGGATGCCCCACCATGCTCACATACAATTTTCTTAATAATGACTTCCTAGAATTGTGATGTTATCATAACTGACATTTTAAAAATTATGTGATGAGTATTTGCCTGCATGTATTTCTTTGCACCATGTTTGAGCGGTGCCCATGGATCCCACAGGGCTGGAGTAACAGAAGTTAGAAGTCACCTGATGTAGGTGCTGGGAACTGAACTCAGACCTCTGGAAGCACAGTTGGCATTCTTAACCCACTGAGTCATCTCCCCAGCCCAATAACTCATTTAAAAACAAACTGCCGCCAGGCGATGGTGTTACACAGCTTTAATCCCAGCACTTGGGAAGCAGAGCCAGGCGGATCTCTGTGAGTTCAAGGCCAGCCTGGGCTACCAAGTGAGTTCCAGGAAAGGCGCAAAGCTACACAGAGAAACCCTGTCTAAAAAAACAAAAACCAAAACAACAACATCAAAAAAAAAACCTGCCGCTTACTGCAGGAGGGTATGTGAGGCAGCAACTTGCTCCTCTGGTTCTCCAGTTTCAGCCTTTGACATTGCTAGGTTACTTGCAAGCATTAAACATGGATGCTGAGGTCAGACCTCTGCTCCCCATGATTGCACAGAATGCTCCCTCACTGACAAAGGCATCTCTTCACCTCCAGACTGATTTCTCTCCCTTCCCCAGGTTTCTGAATGAAGCTCATGGCATTCAATGCATAGAGAAACACACAGAGTTACTTCTGCTTTTCCTTGTGGACTTAGTCTCACCGTGAAACTTGGCTTTGCCTGTGAGGAGTTTGTTGAACTGGCTGGGCCCAAGGTCACAGACATCTCTGATAGGTAACTTGAGAAGACCCACAGGAGATTAGGATCCATGTATGCAATCAGCAAGAGTGTTTATTATATCAAGAAAGATTCAGGCATGATGGGGCCCACCATCATACATGAAGGCAAAATGGTGACTACACAGAGAGGACATTGCAGACTCCTTTTCAGCACAGATAAGGGGAGATCCTAGGGCAGCTAGGTCACCACTGATATGATTGGTTTAAGCAAGTGACAAATATACTAGTATGTTCTAATGGGCAAGGCTAGTCAGGGGTTATTAGTAAAGGCTACAGCTTTTCTGTTTTTGGCAGGACTGGGAGACCCAGGATTGTCATTATTTGAGCTGTGGCTCAGTCAAATTAGTCTACTACATTCTGACTATGGTAGATACATTACCAAGACATTTCACCCTTGCATTTGGGGATATTGGAGATGGATTGTCCTTTAAGGCTATTCAAAAGTATGGCATGATCAGTCTCAGAAAAATGAACTTGATGCCTGAACTGTGACAGAAGACTGAGGATCCAGTTATGATATTTACTCAGTCCTCTCAGACACAAGTACAAAACCATGCCAGTCATTCCGTAGAACAGGTGTGGCACACAATGCACTTCACGGAAGAATTCCAGTGCCTCTATACACATCAGGAAAATTCCACGTGAGGCTTGGGCACCTGTGGATGAATCTTGTGTCAAAGACAGCTAAAGGACTGTGGAGTCACACCACCTTGTACTTTACCTCACATATATCATGGTTGTGCTGTCCTCCTACCAAAGAGAAACATGGCACCTGGGAAAGGGAGCTCACACTCATCATCCTTCTAGGAGATGTTTGAGCTGCCATGACTACACAGGCAGAGATGGCACACCTGCCTCCCACTGTCCAAGCCAGCTTGTGTCTTGAGCATTTTGTCTTACGGTAGCTTATGGTGTTCTACAAATTCCACAAGGTTCCCACGCCTCTTGTCTGTCCTGATGACCCCTCCCAGAGTCTAGACTGGCTCTCAGTGGTCAGAGGCTGAGGTCTCACTGTCATCCTGCCTCCAAGGCCTTTTCTCTGCCAGCTGGAACCTGTTCATGTCTGACCTCCTGTGCTTTGTGCCGCTCTGAGGCTTATAGATAGGCTGCCTTCTCGGGAATCTTGGTCACAACTGGAGATGCAAAGGGCCAAGAGGGTGAGGTTCAATCCCAAGTTCTTATTCCTGGTACCCGTAGATATCTAGAACCATGGCAAAGGAGCTTTGGCCGGACAGTTGGCACTGGCCTAGACAGCCAGCATGGGGAAGTGGACAGCAGAATGCTGGCCTGTACTTCCAGGCCGAGCTGGACTATGGGAACTAGATCCTGGCAGGTGAACCCTGTCTTCAGGTGTGGTCCTCTGTTGGGGTGACCTCCCATGACAGGGAAATTCAACATATGCATTCCTGCTGCCTGGAATCAGCCTGCTGGTAGGTTCTGAACAATGGTTTTCCCTTGAGTTCAGCCTGAGGGTAGTGGTGGTGAGCATTGGAATGGGGCGTTCTGGACCTTGTCTCCTCTGGAGTGTACTGGCCTGTCGCGGGAGCATTCCGAGTTATTTCCACCCTCCTGTTGGTGCTTGCCTAGGTTCTCAGCCCTCAGGAGGCTCAAGCAGGTGGATCCCTGTCCGTTCTTGGCCAGCCTGGTACAGGTCGAGGTCTAGGACAGTCCTGGCTTCCCAGTGGGACCTTCTGTCACAAACAGCAACAACAAGACCCACCACCAAATCCGATTAAATGAAAATGAAAGAAGACAAGGTCTTCCCAAATTTCCCTGGGGCATTCAGGAGGCATTCTAGGCTGGTTAACAGTGAAGACTGTCCTCCTGGGGTGATCTGGAATCCCTAGCAGGCCAGGAGCACCTTGGTGAGAAGCCTGAGCCAGCAGCTGCAGCAGGCTGG